AGGCATGGTGATGCATACCTTGATTCCAGAACTCCAGAGGCAAAGACAGGAAGATCTCTATGACTTTGAGTCTACCCTGGTGTGGAGGTTTTGTTTTGTCTCAGATTATTTATCTTACATATATGAATGCTTTGCCTGCATATACCTATGTGCACCACATGTATGTCTGGTGCCCTTGGGAGGTCAGGACCCCCTGGAACCATTGAGGTACTGAGAACCAAACCTCGGTCTTTTGCAAGAGCTTGTTCTGCAAGAGCAACAAGTGTTCCCAACTGCTGAACCTCCCTCTAGCCCCTTGGTTTTTGTTTATAAGACAAAGTTGCATCTGTAGCTCAGACTCACCTAGAACTTGCTGTGGAGACCAGGTTGGCCTCTAACTCATGGCAATCCTCCTACCTCATCTTTCTGAGTTCTGGGATTGCAGGTATGAGCCACCATGTCTGGTTTGAGGTTGGTTGTGGGATTTCTGTTGTTTAAATGATTTTTAATTTATACATTTAAGCCGGGCGGTGGTGGCACACGCCTTTAATCCCAGCACTTGGGAGGCAGAGGCAGGAGGATCTCTGTGAGTTCGAGGCCAGCCTGGGCTACAGAGTGAGTTCCAGGAAAGGTGCAAAGCTACACAGAGAAACCCTCCCAAGTGCTAGGATTAAAGGTGTGCGCCACCACTGCCCGGAGATTTTTTTTTTTAACCCAGGGCCTTGCACATTTTTTTTTTAAAGATTTATTTATTTATTATGTATACAGAAGAGGGCGCCAGATCTCATTACAGATGGTTGTCAGCCACCATGTGGGTGCTGGGAATTGAACTCAGGACCTCTGGAAGAGCAGTCGTTGCTCTTAACCTCTGAGCCATCTCTCCAGCCCAGGGCCTTGCACATTTTAAGCAAGCACTCCAGCATTGAGCTACAGCTATAGTCCATTTAAAAATCTTTTTGATTGTTTGTTTGTTTGTTTTGTTTTTTGATACAGTGTTTCTCTTGTGTATCCCTGGCTGTTCTGGAACTTGCTCTGTAGAACAGGCTGGCCTCCAACTCAGGGATCTATAGTTGGAGTTTCTTTGGAACACCAGCTCCCAAATAATGACATGGAGACTTTTTATTAATTATGAAAGCTTGGCCTTACTTTAGGCTTGTACCCAACTAGCTTTTTTTTTTTAATGTAATTTTGCTTAAAAAAAAAAAAAAAAAAAGAGGGCTGGAGAGATGCCTCAGTGGTTAAGAACATTGGATGCTCTTCCTGAGTTCAATTCCCAGCAACCACATGGTGGCTCACAACCATCTATAATGTGATGTGATGCCCTCTGGTGACATTTAGGCATACATGCAGATAGAGCACTCATACCTAAAAAACAAAACAAAACAAAACAAAAAAAACATAAATAAAATAAATTTAAAAAAAAAGAAAAGAAAAGATTTATCTAGGTCAGGCAGCGGTGGCACACGCCCTTAATCCCAGCACTCAGTAGGCAGAGCCGAGCCAGGCAGAGTTTGAGGCCAGCATGGTCTACAGAGCTGAGATCCAGAACCAGCACCAAAACTACACAGAGAAACCCTGTCTCCAGAAACCAAAATTAATTAATTAATTAATTAAATTAAAAAAATCAGAAAAAGATTTATCTATTATGTATAGTGTTCTGCCTGCATGTATGGCTGCATGCCAGAAGAGGGCGCCAGATCTCATTACAGATGGTTGTGAGCCTCCATATGGTTTCTGAGAATTGAATTGAGGACTACTGAAACAGCAGGCCATGCTCTTCACCTCTGAGCCATCTCTCCAGCCCCCCAACTAGCTCTTAAAACCTAAATTAACTCATTTATATTAATCTACATTCTGCCATGTGGCTTGTTACTGTTGTGGACTATTAATTTAAGATGTGTTACATTTGTTTATGCTGTGGAACATTTGTTTAATGATGCAAAGATGTGTTGCATTCTATATATTGCATTTGTTTAACTCCGTGAAGCTGTGTTACTTTGCCTGCCTAAAACACCTGATTGGTCTGATAAAGAGCTGAACGGCCAATACCAAGGCAGGAAAAAGGATAGGCGGGGCTGGCAGGCAGAGAGAATAGATTAGAGGAGAAATCTGGGGAGCGAGATCTAGGAGTGAGAAAGAGCAGGACTCCAGGGGCCAGCCACCCAGCTACACAGCCAGCCATGGAGTAAGAAGTAAAGAAAGGCATATAGGCTAAAGATAAAAGCCCAGAAGCAAAAGGTAGACAGGATAATTTAAGTTAAGAAAAGCTGGCTAGAAATAAGCCAAGCTAAGGCCAGTCATTTATAAGTAAGAAAAAGCCTCCCTGTGATTTATTTGGGGGCTAGGTGGCAGACCAAAAAGAGTAAAACAAACAAATAAACAAACAAAAAAACAAAAAACAAAAAAAACAAAACTTTACCTCTGACTTCCCCCTAGTCTAGCTGGCAAATCTAGAGTGCCTCAGATTCTTCCCAGAGCTCCTTTGTCTATCTGGAAGTCCTGCCTATCCTCCCCTGCCTACCTATTGGCCATCCAGCTCTTTATTAAACCAATCAATAGATGCCTTAAGAAGATGGGGTAAAAAAGAGACACATCTTCACACAGTGTGACCAAATATCCTGCAATGGGGATCTGTCTGCCTGCGCCTCCCGAGTGCTGGGATCAGAGGCCTGTGGCGCTCCACCACATCTTCTTCCTTTCCTCCCCCCCCCCTTGGTTTTTCAAGATAGGGTGTTTCTCTGTGTAACCTTCAAATCTTTTGAGACAGGATCTCCCCAAATCTTGAAGAATGCTCAAGTCTTCTGCCTCAGCCTTCTGAGTATCTGGGATTATAGACCTGTATTATCAGGCTCAATTCCAGATGAGTTTTTTTTTAATTTATTTTTAAACTTATTTATTATGTGTATGGGCATTTTGCTTGTATGTATGTCTGTGCACCATGTATATTCAGTGCCCACAGACTACTGGAGTGAGCCATGGCACCCTTGTGCCCCATACACAAATAAATAAATTAATGTAAAAAATAAAAAAGGAGCCGGGCGGTGGTGGCACACGCCTTTAATCCTAGCACTCGGGAGGCAGAGCCAGGCGGATCTCTGTGAGTTCGAGGCCAGCCTGGGCTACCAAGCAAGTTCCAGGAAAGGCGCAAAGCTACACAGGGAAACCCTGTCTCGAAAAACCAAAAAAAAAAAATAAAAATAAATAAAATAAAAAATAAAAAATAAAAAAGGAATGAAGGATGGGGAATGCAGCTTAGGTGGTAGGTAGAATGCTTTCCTAGCATGCACGAGCCCCGTGTTCCAACCCCAAAGCGTCCATGAAATGGGCGTGGTTATCTCAGCACTCTAGCAGTACAGGCAGAGGATCAGAGATGCAAGGTCATTCTTGGCTACACAGGGAGTTGGAGGCCAGCCTGGGCTAGAGACTATCGCAAAACAACAAAACAAAAAAAGACACACTTTTAATCGCAGCACTCTCGAGGTAGAGACAGTGAATCTCTGTAAGTTCTAGGCCAGTCTGGTGGTCTGCACAGTGAGTTCCAGACCAGCCAGAGCCACACAGTGTAGACCCTATCTAAAAAGAAGAAAAGCCCAGCAGTGGTGGTGCACACCTTGAATCCCAGCACTCGGGAGGCAGAGGCAGGCGGATCTCTGTGAGTTCGAGGCCAGCCTGGTCTACAGAGCGAGTTCCAGGAAAGGCACAAAGCTACACAGAGAAACCCTGTCTCGAAAAACCATTTTTTTAAAAAAAAAAAGGAGAAGAAAAGCCCAGCAGTGATGGTGCACACCTGGAATCCCAGCACTTGGGAGGCACAGGCAGGATCTCTATGAGTTTGAAGCCACCATGGTCAACAGAGGGAGTTCCAGGACAGCCAGGGATACACAGAGAGACCCTGTCTGGAAAAATAGAAACAAACAAGCAAACAAAAATATGAGAGAAAGCCAGGCGGTGGTGGCACATGCCTGTAATCCCAGCACTCGGGAGGCAGAGGCAGGTGGATCTCTGTGAGTTCAAGGCCAGCCTGGTCTACAGAGCTAGTCTAGGACAGGCTCCAAAGCTACAGAGAAACCCTGTCTCGAAAAACTAAAAAAAAAAAAAAAAAAAAAAAAAAAAAAAAAAAAACCATGAGAGAAAGCCAGACAGTGGTGCACGCTTTTAATCCCAGCACTTGGGAGGCAGAGGCAGGGAGATCTCTGTGAGTTCAACACCAGCCTGGTCTACAGAGGGAGATCCAGGAAAGGCACCAAAAAAACTACACAGAGAAACCCTGTCTCGAAAAACAAAACAAAACAACAAACAAACAAAAAAACATGAGAGAAAAATAGCCTGTTTCCTTTATTGTTCCCAGAATTTTAAAGATTTGCTTTGGTTTTGTTTAATCTTACTTTAGTGTCAAGCTAGTAATAAAAAGATTTTTTTTTTTAAATTTGATTTTTGATGAGACAGATCTCACTTTTCTAGGTGGGCCCTGAAGGAATTTTCCTGTTTCGGCCTCCCCAGTACCATGCCGTCATACCTACCCAGCTGAGGTTGATCGGTTTAGGTGAGGCAATTGCTTCTTCCCAGTGCCCCTTGAAACGCTGACGGCAACAGGCAGTCTGTAGTCTATGGCACATGAGTCCTAAAAGGACTTCGGGTTCCAAAGATGATTGACAAGCTTGATATGCCGTTCCTATACCCTCTTGTTCTTTTTTTAAAAAAAATTATGTGCACTAGTGTTTGGCCTACATGTATGTCTGTGTGAGGATGCCAAGTCCCCTGGAACTGGAGTTACAGACGCTTGTGAGCTGCCATGTGGGTGCTGGGAATTGAACCTGGGTCCTCTGGAGAGCAGCCAGTGCTCTTAATGGCGGATCCACCTCTCTAGCCCCTTGTTCTCTTTTTAAAATCATGGGCGAGAGCTAAGCTAGAGTCTCCTGTGTCCGTGGGGCCTGAGCAGTCCTGGCTCTCTGGCTGTCCCAACCCCATCAGAGCAGTATTCTCCACCTGAAGACAAAGAAGGGTTTTTACCCAACACCACACCAGGGAAGCCACGTATTTTATTTGTCATTCTCAACAAGACTGGTCCCTTGCTTCCACTCTTTCTACGCCTCAGGAGGCCTTTGGGGTAGTGTCTGTCTGGGTCCCTGTCTGTGAATACAGTCTTAGGGAACCTGATACGGTGATCCCAAAGAGCCAGCAGTAGAGAGAAGTCCCCGGGGGCTGACGTCAACATCCTGCCATCTCCTTCATTGCCTCTTCTTCAAATCGAAAGGAGCGCCAGCCTTCTGCCTCAGTCAGATCTTGAGCTCCCAGAGACTTGTACAAGTCCATGGCCTTCTTGTTCCAGTCCAGAACTGCCAGGCGGACCTGGGAGCACCCCTTCTGCAGGGCAACCTGTGGGAGAAGACACTGATGACTGCCCTGGGCTCTAAAAAGAAGAATCGACAGGCGGTGGTGGCGCACACCTTTAACCTCAGCACATGGGAGGCAGAGGCAGGCAGATCTCTGAGTTCAAGGACAGCCTGGTCTAAGAGCAAGTTCCAGGACAGCAGGGCCACACAGAGAACCCTGTCTCGAAACACCAAAAGAAAAAAAAAAAGAAGAATTTCTCTCATCTCCTCATTCAACCTCAGGAACCCCAAACCTTCCAGGGGGGTTTGTTTGTCTGGCTGATTGGTTGGTTTTGGTTTTTGTTTTCTGGCGGGGCGACGGGGGTGGGGTGGGGGGGTAGGGTGGGGTGGGGAGGTGGGAGATGCAGGGATCGAGGGGGGGCGCGGGCAGGGACTAGATTCTAACCCCCACCCCTTTGCTCACCTCAGCCACCTTTTTGATTATTTTGGTACCGATCCCTTGACCTGCAGTGGATAAAGGGGGAGTTGAAGGGGTATCAGAGGAAACCATAGACTGATATTAGGGGGCAGGGAAGGGGATGGGTCTAAGGATTGCTCCGTGGGCTTGTGGGTACTTCGTGTCCACCCTTAGCCTCTGCCAGCAGTACCCCGATATTGCGGCATCACATAGATGTCTTCCAGATAAATGTTTCGTCCCTTCCATGTGCTGTAGCTGAAGTAGTACAGCCCGTAGCCCACCACACGGGGCCCTGAAAATGAGAGGGAAGGTTAAGGCCTCTGGGAGGAAAAACTGAGGATGCCTGGAGGGTCCCTTACCTTGGAGCTCCCCAGACGCTGGAACAACCTCTGCCACCAAACAGTGAAAGAAAGGGTTCTCTCCAAAGCCATCTGCTCTCAGGGCTGGAGAGATTGGGGTGTGACAAGGGGGGCAGAGACAGCGGGAAGAGGGGAGGGGGAGGGGGCGGATTAATGTCCAGTCCGGTAGTTATTGCCTTTTCTTCCCCCCCACTCTCAGGACCCAGCTGCAAAGCCCCACCTTCTTCGCTGATCTTCACCTGATGGGACAGTTGCTCGTACTCGGCCAGTTCCTACAACGGGAGAACCAAGACATCGTTAGGGTAGGAAGGCCCCGCCACTCGGAGAGCAGGGTTCAAAGGTACACCCCCCTGTCTACCTCCCCCGCTCCGACCACGCCGCTCCCAGCCCCACGGCACTCGGTTTTCCAGCCCGCAGGCTTCACCCGTATCATCCTCAGAATGTCTGCACAATCTCTCTCCCTGGCCTCTCGGATCCGCGTGGAAGCCATCCAGATCGTCACTGTCAAAAATCAAAGATCAAAGAGTCTCCACTTCCGTTCTTCAGGACCTCAGAAAGAGCCTACAGCTCAGGTCTCAAAGAGCTGGAAATGAGGGGCAGAAGAAATGCTAGGAGCTCCCAGACAGGCTTCGGGAACCAGCGGATCTCAGCCAGGAGCGTGGATCGGCCTGGTGGTCTCTTCTGCCAGGGAAGGCCTTAAATGCTGCACCCCGCCCTCCAGCCAATCAGCTTCTGGTTAAGACCATTTTCCCCACCCCACCCCCGGCCCCGCCTCGCCCCGAAGGTCCCGTGGCAAGACTAGGAGCAAGTGGTAAAGCTTGCAGTTTCTGTCATATATACCCTAGGCTTAAAAGTCCTCTTCTGCGCTGCTTTAATTAAAGTATGCTCCAGTTAGTTTTCACTCTCAGTCGTCTGGCCACGGGGGTATCCCAGACTCAGCGCGAGACCCTCGGCGGTCTCCAGGAGCTGTCTTCCATAGTGGAAGCCAGTGCTCTGCCTCTTCCAGCTTCCCCTCCCTCTCTCCCTGCCTCCCTCGCCCCCTCCCTCCCTCTCATTCTCCCCCCTCCCCCTTCCTCCCATTCTCCCCCGCCCCTTCCTCTTCCCTTCTTTGGTTCTGGGCATTAAACCCAGAACCTCTGGACACGCTGAGCAAACCCTACCCTTGCTTCCTATGACTGTTGGGTGGCTCATAGGGTGTTTACTTTTCTACATTAGGTCCTATAATAAATCCCCGTAATTAAGAGTAATGGCAATTTCCTTACTCTTTTTTTCTCCTTTACTTCTGATAGGGTCTTCAGGGAGTGGGAGTTTTTCCTGGGTATGTAGCCCAGGCTGGCCTCAGATTCATTGTGTAGCCAAGAATGACCTAGAACTTCTGATTTTCCTGCCTCTACCTCCCAGGTGATGGGATTACATGTCACTATATCCGATTTTGCCTGAAACCCTTGATGCTTTGGGCTCAGTATTCTCCGTTCCCCAGCAGCAGCTGGGACTACAGTCTTAGCCAGCCCCCCCTCCCCGTCTCCACCTTTATGTTTCATTTTGACACAGTCTCACCCTGACACTCAGGCTGGCCTGAAACTTATTAGCAGCCCTCTTGCCTCAACCTCCCAAGTGTTTGGATTCTAGGTGTGAGCCACCACATCCAGCTCAGCCTTGAACTTTTTATTTTCTATTTGGTGAGTGTGCTCTATGGGCACATGTGCAGGTGTGTGAGTGTGCAGATGTGCAGAGCGAGGAGTCAACGTTTTGGCTTCTTCAGTTGCTCTTCTCCTGAATTTTGAGACAGAGAGTCCTTTCAGGGAACCTGGAGCTCACCACTTCTGCTAGACTGGCTGGCCAGTAGGCTCCAGGGAGCCACGTCTTTGCAACTCTACCATCTCATCTGCCCCGGCCCTGGGGTCACAGGTGTGCCCCTCTTCGTCCAGGTATCGTGTGAGTGGTGGGCAGTCCGAACTCCGGTCTTCAAGTGTGTTCACAAAGCACTTGACCTCTTGAATCGTTTCCCCAGCCCAGTGTTAAACTCTGGATCTCAGCCAGAGTTTACGTTTTTTCCCCTCACTGCATCTGTTTTTTGTTTGTTTGTGTTTATGTGTGTGAGTATTGAGTGTTTCGCCTGCCTGTGTATATGTACGCCACATTTGTTTCTGGTGCCCTCAGAAGTCAGAGGAAGATGTTGGATTCCCTAGAATCGCAGTTGTGGATGGCTGTGAGCTGCCTTGTAGGTGCTGGGAATCGAACCCAGGTCCTCTGCAAGAGCCTCAGTGCTCTTAACTGCTGAGCCATCTCTCCAACTGCCTTTTTAAAATTGATTGCATTTATTTATTTCTTATTGTATATGCATGGGTGTTTTGCTTGCATGCATGTCTCTGTCAGGGTGTTAGATCCTCAGAAGTGGAGTCATAGACAGTTGTGAGCTGCCATGTGGGTGCTGAGAACTCAACGTGAGTCCTCTGGAAGGGCAGCTGGCACTCTTAACTGCTGAGCCATCTCTCCAGCCCCATGTCCTTTTTTAAAAAAATGTGTTTCTTTTCTGGGCTGGAGAGATGGCTCAGCAGTTAAGAGAGAGCAAACTCACAGAGATCCACCTGTGTAGCTGGAGTTTCCTCCAGTTCTGCCTGGCCCACAGTCAGGACAAATCTCTCTCACCCACCAGTCCCGCAGCCGCTCAGACCCAACCAAGTAAACACACAGAGACTTACATTGCTTACAAACTGTATGGTCATGGCAGACTTCTTGCTAACTGTTCTTATATCTTAAATTAACCCATTTCTGGGGTTGGGGATTTAGCTCAGTGATAGAGCGCTTGTCTAGCAAGTGCAAGGCCCTGGGTTTGGTCCTCAGCTCCGGGGGAAAAAAAATTAACCCATTTCTATTAATCTGTAAGTTGCCACGTGGCTCGTGGCTTACCGGTATCTTAACATCTGCTTCTCACTGGGGCTGCTGGCAGCATCTCTCTGTCTCAGCCTTCCTCCTCTCAGAATTCTCCTCTCTCTTTGTCCCGCCTATACTTTCTGCCTGGCTATTGGCCAATCAGCACTTTATTTATTAACCAATCAGAGCAACACATTCACAGCATAGAGAATATCCCACAGCACTTCCCCTTTTCTTTTCTTTTTTAAAAATTTTATTTATTGATTATGAACAGTGTTCTTTCTGCATGTATGCCTGCAGGCCGGAAGAGGGCACCAGATCTCATTACAGATGGTTGTGAGCCACCCTGTGGATGCTGGGAATTGAACTCAGGACTTCTGGAAGAGCAGTCAGTGCTCTTAACCTCTGAGCCATCTCTCCAGCCCCCCCTTTTCTTTCTTTTTTTTTTTCAAAAAGGAAGGTTTTAACTTTCACATAGTAAAATTACATATAACAAAACAATTATCAAGCAAGAATTACAGTTACAATATTTTATAATATCTAGTCTATTTGTATTTGGCAAAATTAAAGAAGATATCCTAGTTATTTTATATTTGTGAGTCTAAGGTTTCATATCTAACTTATCTTTTATCATAGCTAAAGAAAATTATAACTATCTAGTCTTCAAATACTTCAAAGACCTACAGAATATGGCATTTAAAATGTTTTAAAAAATTTGCCGGGCGGTGGTGGCACATGCCTTTAATCCCAGCACTCGGGAGGCAGAGCCAGGAGGATCTCTGTGAGTTCGAGGCCAGCCTGGTCTACAGAGCGAGACCCAGGAAAGGCGCAAAGCTACACAGAGAAACCCTGTCTCGAAAAACAAAAATTTGCCGGGTGGTGGTAGCGCACGCCTTTAATCCCAGCACTCGGGAGGCAGAGCCAGGCAGATCTCTGTGAGTTCGAGGCCAGCCTGGGCTACCAAGTGAGTTCCAGGAAAGGCGCAAAGCTACACAGAGAAACCCTGTCTCGAAAAAACCAAAAAAAAAAAAAAAAAAATTTAGACTTTCTGGACGGTGAGACATGTCTGCTCCTGGCAGCACCGATTTACCTCAGAGAGGAGGATGGGCATCAAAGACACTCCATATGGAGTTTATCTTCTTCTTGGTAAAAATAGCCATTTGGGCAAGAACTGTTCTTGCCTGGACTGCTTGATCGACTGGACATGCAGGACCCATAGGAAGGTGACCACTAAACTTTGCTTGACAAAATGGTCCTTCAGGTTCCTGCTTTGCAGAGGAAACTGCCAGACATTCTACAGGACACAGAGAAAAATGACTGAGAGACTCTAGCCCTGTGGGCTGAAGACAGATGCCCCAACTTTACAAAGGATGACTGTCCAGGCTGCCAGCTGTCTCTGTCTACTCTTGCAAGATTCCTGAAAGTTGCTTGAGTCCATCTCCCTTTTCTCAGGTATTTATATCCTTCTGAGGCCTTTGATGTAGTTGAAGACTAGATAGTTATAATTTCCTTAGTTATGATAAAAGATAAGTTAGATATGAAACCTTAGACTCACAATATAGGATAGCTAGGATATCTTCTTTAATTTTGCCAAATACAAATAGACTAGATATTATAGACTAAATATTGTAACTGTAATTCTTGCTTGGTAATTGTTTTGTTATATGTAATTTTACTATGTGAAAGTTAAAACCTTCCTTTTTGAAAAAAAAAAGGAAAGGGGAAGTGCTGTGGGATATTCTCTATGCTGTGAATGTGTTGCTCTGATTGGTTAATAAAAAAAGTGCTGGCCGGGCGGTGGTGGCGCACGCCTTTAATCCCAGCACTCGGGAGGCAGAGCCAGGTGGATCTCTGTGAGTTCGAGGCCAGCCTGGTCTCCAAAGCGAGTTTCAGGAAAGGTGCAAAGCTACACAGAGAAACCCTGTCTCGAAAAACAAAAAACAAAAAACAAAAAAAACAAAAAAAATTTAAGATATAAGAACAGTTAGCAAGAAGCCTGCCACAGCCATACAGTTTATAAGTAATATAAGTCTCTGTATGTTTACTTGGTTGGGTCTGAGCGGCTGCAGGACTGGTGGGTGAGAGAGATTTGTCCTGACTGTGGGCCAGGCAGGACCAGGAAAACTCCAGCTATACCCCTGTCTCTGCCTCCAGAGTGCTGGGATTAAAGGCGTGCGCCACCATGCCCAGCATAACTTTCTTTTTAATATATAGTTGTTAATTTTTAAATTTTATTTTATGTGTATGGGTATTTACCTGCATGTATATCTGTGAATCACCTACATGCCTGCTACTACCTACAGAGGCCAAAAGAGTGTGTTGGATCCCTGGGACCTAGAGTTACAGTTGGTTGTGAGCGACCATATGAGTGATGGTCCTCTGGAAGAGCAGCCAATGCTCTTAACCACTGAGTCATCTCTCTAGCGCTGCCTACACCCCCGACTTTTTTCTTTTCTTTTCTTTTCTTTTTTTTTATTTTTGAGACAGTACTATGTAGCCTTGGTTGGCCTAGAACTCACTCTGTAGACCAGGCTGACTTCAAACTCACAGAGCTCCACCTGCCTCTGCCTCCCAAGTGATGAGATTAAGTGAATGTACAACTATGTCCAGCTACAAATATTTATTGCTTTTTTTCACTATTTTCCTCCTTCCTTATTTTAAACATTTGTTTTTGTGTGTGTGTGTGTGTAACATGTGCCTGTGCACACATGTGCATATGTGTGTATGTGGAGGCCAGAAGACAACTTTCGGGAGTCAGTTTTTTCCTTCCATCCTGTGGGTCCTGTGGTATAAACCCAAGTCCTCAGGCTGGCAGCAGAGGCTCTTATCCGCTGAGCCATCTGTACCCCCCACTGTTTAGAAGAGTCTTTCTGTGTAGTCCAGACTGGCTTTGAACTCGTGATCCTGCTGTCTCAATCTCACCAGTGCTGGGGTTATTGGCGGATTTCTTCTTAGTAGCCATTAAAACACACAGAGAGACAATACCTTCTTGTGAGAGCAGCATCGTAGATGTGGGAAAGCTAAGGGAGGCGTTCCTATCAGTCACTGGGCATTCTGCCTGTGCCATTCCAATCTCCATGCCCAGCAGTTCCATGAAAGAAGCGTTATGTTCCTCCTTTGACAAAGTCACTGGAGCACAAAGGTGAAGCGTGTCTCCCAAGGTCAGTCAGCAAGACGTCTGGATTCCACACCCCAGCTCCAGCCCTGGTAGAAGATGCTGGTTTCCAGAGCTCAAGTTGGCCTAGGCGGCCTCCCCTTGTGGGAGGAACACTTGGAGGAGCCACACTGGCCAACAGGGGAGGAGAAGAGGTGAGATGCTCTCTCACAGATTTCTTGGCTGCCAGGGGTGGGGTGTGGGGGGTGTGGGGGTGTGGGGGTGTAGTCGTGTTGTGGAGGGACTCTGTCCTCCACCTCATTTGACTTCAGAGGGGCCGCACGGTCAGCGGCCCCATCTCCTGCCCCCCTTCTTCCCCCGGAGCAACCTTTAACCCTCCACCACCCCGTGCAAGGCTGCCTACCCCCACTCGTTCTCCTCAGATTGTCTGAGCCACGGAGTGGACAGCTGCCGACTATGGAGAACCGAGACTCTGTGGCCTGCCTGCACCCATGGCTCCTTCAGCTACTGCTGCTGCTGTCGCCACCTCACACCCACCAGGGACAGGCCCTGGGACTCATTGTCCTTACCGAGGTACGGAGCGGGACGGGGTTCTCACCCCTGGGTGTTTAAATGAGCTGCATTTCGGCTGTCTTTTCCCCTTCTCTCCTCCTCTGACCCTGTAGCTGTGCCTGTCTCTGAAATGTCTTGGGTCAGCTTATTTTCTTTTTCTGACAGAGTGCCCAGGATCCTCCAGCTAGGTACCTCAGCAATGGCCCAGGACAAGAGCCTGTCTCTGTGATGACCATTGACCTCAACAAAATCAGCAAGTATAGGAGTCACTTGGCCTCTTTTTTTTTTTTTTTTAACTTATTTCTATTTTTGTGTGCATTGATTTTGGCCTGCCTGTATATCTGTGGAAGGGTGTCAGGTCCCCTGGAACTGGAATTACAGACAGTTGTGAGCTGCCATGTGGGTGCTGGGAATCGAACCCTGATCCTCTGGAAGAGCAGTCAGTGCTCTTAACTGCTGAGCCATCTCTCCAGCCCTGTCACTTGACCTCTTGACCCAGCCTTCTGACCTCCTCTTCCCCACCATGTTATCTCCCTAAATTCCTTTTCCCCTCAACCCTGAACCCCCCCACACCCCATGTACAGTCTCTCCTGTGTCCTTCCAGACCCTATTCCTCCTTTGAGTTTCGAACCTTGGATCCAGAGGGAGTGATTTTTTATGGGGACACCAACACTGAAGATGATTGGTTCATGCTGGGACTTCGTGATGGCCAGCTTGAAATCCAGCTGCACAACCTCTGGGCTCGGCTTACAGTAGGCTTTGGCCCTCAGCTGAATGATGGGAGATGGCACCAGGTAAGAGAACTCTGTCTCTGTGGGGAGAGGTCACCTTGATCTGATGAGGAAGGAGAACTGGAGCATCCCTTCGCCATGGTCCTCTCTTAGCAAGACGCAGTCCCGTGAAGTAGCGATTCTTGTCTCTGTTTCATCAGATGGAAATCCCAAGGCTGAGTCAGTATGTAAGTGGCACAGTCTGAGTGAGCCAAGGATGCGTCTACAAGGGCATCTTCTTTCAGCTGGACTCTGAAGAAAGTGGAGGGGACAAGCTCAGGGCCCTCTGCTTCAGCTTTCTTCTGCTTCTGACCATCTCCTGCAGGTGGAGCTGAAGATGAATGGGGATTCACTGCTGCTGTGGGTGGATGGGAAGGACATACTGTGCCTGAGACAGGCCTCTAGATCCCTGGCTGACCATTCCCAGCCCAGCATGAGGATCGCTCTAGGGGGGCTCCTCCTCCCTGCCTCCAGTCTTCGGCTCCCGGTAACTACATCCTAGGGCCAGGCTACGGAAACCTACATTCAGATTTTAGGGAGAGGGAGGTGGAGTAAGAGCTACATGGAGAAAGCTAAACCTTCACGTTTCTGAGGGAATATGCTAGGGGTCAGGATTCAGATACCCTGGTTCCACCATCCTAACCTCCCCTCCACTTCCACCCACTTCAGCTGGTGCCTGCCCTGGATGGCTGTATACGTCGAGATACTTGGCTGGGCCACCAGGCCCAGCTCTCACCCTCTGCCCCTACTAGCCTCGGAAACTGTGATGTGGACTTGCAACCTGGACTGTTCTTCCCTCCAGGGACCCATGCAGAATTCAGTCTCCAAGGTAGACTTTTGAAAATCTCTTTCCCCTCCATGTCCAGTTCTGCCTTCCTTTGTCTCTCCTTAACACTGTGCCCGTCTCTCCATAAAACCTAAGGCCTCAGGAGAACCATTTCTCCCCCTAGACATTCCCCAGCCTCACACAGACCCCTGGAGCTTTTCTCTGGAGCTGGGATTAAAGCTGGTGGATGGCTCAGGATGCCTCCTTGCTCTTGGGACAGGAACAAATTCTTCTTGGCTTACCCTTCACCTCCAAGATCAAGTAAAGGAAGAGGGTGGGATGCTGGCTATAGTTAGTGGATTCTGGGAAAAGAATGAGGCAAAGGGGGCTTTTAACAGCAGAAAGGCTTAAGTGGTGGAGAGTCAGAGACATCACAGAATGCAAGCAGCTTTTACCTAGACTACTTGTTTATTTGGGGCTGGGGATGGTTTCATAGAAGGTCAAAGCAGGAAATCGCATGGAAGTATAGCGCAGAGGCTGAATTAAAGCAGATAAGGGAGCAACAGAGTGTAGCTCTGGCTCCTTCTTTGCTCTCTCAAGGCCTGTCTCTGCCCCGTCCACTGCAGAAGGTGGTGCTGTCTTCTGGAGTAGAACCAAACTTAGCTTTACCCTTAGACACGGGGCTCCCTCTTCAGCTGAAGCTGGATGTTTTCAAAGTGGTCTTGAGCCAAGGGCCAAAGATGGAGGTCCTTGCTGTGTCCCTGTCGAGACTGGACTCCCTCCGGAGACTCTGGTCCCACCCTCAGGGCCATCTCTCTCTTGGGGCTTTACCAGGTAAGAGGATGCTGTTTAAATATATTAGCTACAGGGCGAGAAAACATATTCTGAGGGAAGGAGACCTCAGCGAGAGAAGAAAGGAATGACCTGTGGGGTGTTGCTCAGGCGTGGAGTGCACACCTAACATGCATCAGGGCCCCTGGTTTTATAACTAGAAAGTAAAACTGGAATAAAAATGGGGAGCTAGGCACGGGGATAGATATATTTACAGTCAACACTGGGGAGGGTCAGGCAGGAAGAGCGCACGGTCACGACCAGCCTGGGCTACAGAGCAAGACTTGGTCCTAAAAAAAAAAAAAAAAAAAAAAATCTTTAAAAAGGGAGAGGAAGTGATTGTGGAAATTCAGGTTGTGGAGCAGAGCCACCCTGATGCTCTGATGCCACCTTCCTCCAGGAGACAATTCTTCCGCTTCCTTTTGCTTGAGTGATCTTCGGGTACAAGGACAGAGACTGGACATAGACCAGGCCCTGAACAGAAGCCAGAACATCTGGACTCACAGCTGCCCTCAGAGCCCAAACAATGTCACTCACACTTCCCACTAAACCCCCTTTGTGAAGGAGGCATGGTGGTACATGCCTGTAAACCCAGGACAGGTAGAGTTGGGAGAATCAGGACCTCCATGTCATCCCTGGCTACATAACATGTTTGAGACCAGCCTGGGCTATGTGCAACCCTGTCGTTAAAAATAAAGAGGAACTTTGAATGCAACTCACTCATTTATTCAGCAAATATTTACTGTGCTCTGGCAGTGGACCAGGCAGTGTGGCAAGCGAGCATTGAGATGTATTGAAGAGCAAAAACAACCATGCTTCCTTTCGATGCTCCTGGGCCGGTAGGGGAGGTGGGCTTGCTTCGAATGTCAGCAAACAGAAGGACAGTTGGAAATTCTATGTCCTGCAGAAGTGCACTTAGAGAGTCTTTACAAGTGCAGAGACTATGAGGCTTTGACATAGTCTGGAAGGCAGAAAGAGCTTTCCCAAGGATGTGGTGACTTAGGCTGAGCCCCGGCAGCAGGAACCATGGACACATCACTTTCTGGAGCCGGGAGCTTGACCTCTTCCCCAACACCCACATTCTGAGACTCCAGCTTCCCGTCTCTCATGTCAGCCTACGAGTTTGTTCTCTTGGTCATCCTGATCTTCGGCATGGCCACTGCTGTTCAGGGAAAGGGCAGCAGGGGGCGTAAGAGTGTCGCAGAGAGAAGGGGCAGAGGTTCTGGGAAAGCCAGGGAAGGAGTAAAAAGAGCTTGGAGCCAAAAGCTTTCCTTGCCCCGGGAGGCCCTGGGTTCTGTCCCCAGCACTGTGGAAAAAGGAGAGAAAGAGAAGAGGGCCGAGGGGCCGAGCAGCCGCGCTCCCAGCCTCGTCTTTGCTGCTGCCCCAGAGCAGTACGTCTTTTTCCATTAAACAAAGACTAGTTTGTACTGGTTCCAACTGGAAAGAAAAGGCAGATTCAGGAAAATTTCTGACATCAAAGCATTTAGAGAGGGACAGGGATGCCTTTCCCTTGGTGGAATGCTTGCCTAGCATGCAGGAACCCCGGGGTGGGATGTGCAACATCGCGTACAGTGTACAGCCTGTAATCCCACCACTCAGTAGGTGGGCAGGACCTCCGGAGGTTCCCGACACCTCTCTATCTGATGAGGTGGAGGCCAGCCTGGACTATGAGACCTGCCAGGTCTGTTTGTTTGATTTTGTGGTGTTGGGGATGGAATCAGGGTCTGTGCATGCTAGGCAAACACTCCACCGCTAAAGTACATCTCCAGTCTGAGATCCTGTCTAGAAATAAAAACAGAATATTTATCGAGCCTCTGGAGAACACTGGTGACCCTCACTCTCTGTGGGAACCTTCATGCCCAAGCCGCCAGCTCCATGTTTCAGCTCTTTTCAGAATCCTTGTATTCTAGCTGCCAAGGAGTCCTCAGGAGGCTCCATCCCTGAGGTCTGTCTGTCAGTCTTACTGTGTAGCCCTGGCTGACCTGGAACTTACTGTGTAGACCATGCTGACCTCACTCAAACTCACAGAGATTCTTCTGACTCAGACACTCTGTTGTGTGTGTACCACCATGCCCTGCCTTACTCAAGAATTTTTTTTTAAATATTTATTTATTTATTTTATGTATATGAGTGCTCTATCTGCATGTATGACATTTTTGTTTTGTTTTGTTTTGTTTTTAGAGACAGGGTTTCTCTGTGTAGCTTTGTGCCTTTCCTGGATCTCCCTCTGTAGACCAGGCTGACCTCGAATTCACAAAGATCCTCCTGCCTCTGCCTCCCAAGTGCTGGGATTAAAGGCGTGGGCCACCATCGCCTGGGTGCATGTATGACTTTATACCAGAAGAGGGCATCAGATTCCACTACAGATGGTTGTGAGCCACCATGTGATTGCTGGGAACTGAACTCAGGATGTCTGGAAGAGCATCCAGTGCTCTTAACCTCTGAGTCACTCAAGAACTTTTTTTTTTTGTTGTTGTTTTGTTTTTCAAGAAAGGGTTTCTCTGTGTAGTTTTGGAACCTGTAAACCTGCTGGCCTCAAATTCACAGAGATCCACCTGCCTCTGCCTCCTGAGTGCTGGAATTATAGGCGAGCGCCACCACCACCACCCCACCCCACCACCACCACCACCACCACCCCCAACCCACCCCCCCACCCTCCCACCCCGCCCCACCACTACCCGGCCCACTCAAGAACTTTGAGTTTCCTAAGTGTTGGAACTAATAGCGTGTGCCACATGTCCAGCTTAGAGCCAGTCTATTAAGGGTTAGAGCCAGTCTACTGAAAAGAGAGAAGAAAGTCTCCCACAAGTGGGAGTGGGCAAGGGAGTTCGGTAGGACTGACACTCCAGAGCCTCTTTTTTTTCCCTTAAAAATATATTTTTTTTAAGGGCAACTGTGGTGGCACACGCCTTTATTCCCAGTACTTAGGAAGCAGAGGCAGGGGAATCTCTGTGAGTTTGAGGCTAGCCTGGTCTATATAGTGAATTCCAGGATAGCCAGGGCTATGTAGAACAATCCTGTGGCAAAAAAAAAAAAAAAAAGCAAAAATTTTTTTTTTGAAATGTTATGTGTATGTGTGTGTGCTTAAGTGTGTGTATGTGCACCACATGCACGCAGGTGCTTGAGGAGGCCGGAGGAGAGGGCGTCATATCCTCTGCAGCTACAAGTACTACAAGTATAGGCAACGGAGCTACAAGTATAGACAACTGAGAGCCAGCTGGTAAGGGTGCTGCGAACCAAACCTGGGTGCTCTTCAAGGGCTGCCAGTGCTCTCACTGAGCGTCTCTCACTGAGCATCTCTCACTGAGCGTCTCTCACTGAGCGTCTCTCACTGAGCCATCTCTCACTGAGCGTCTCTCACTGAGCGTCTCTCACTGAGCGTCTCTCACTGAGCGTCTCTCACTGAGCCATCTCTCCAGACCCTGTTTTTTTTTTTTGCTTTTTCTCTTTCTCTTCCTTCCTTTCTTTCCCTTCTTCTTTTTTTTTTCTCTTTTTTTTAGAAAGGATCTCGAGTATTCCAGGCTGGCTTCAAACTTGATATGTGGTCAGGGAAGACCTCGAACCTCTGCTCCTCCTGTCTCTACCTCTTGAGTGCTGTCACTGAAACAGGTGTGGGTGGCTAGGCTAGTTTTATGGGGTACTGGAGAGGAATCCAGGGTTTCATGCATAGTAGGCACACACTCCACCAGTCACAAGCTATGTCCTCAGCCCCAGCCACCCAGTAACCCAAGCAGTAGGATCTCACTCCCTGGGACCTACTGTTCCCTTCTGCAGAGAGCAGCCAGGACCTCCTTGATGACTCCAGAGCAAGGGGTCTCAGGAAAGCCTCTGCGGGGGAAGGCACAAACCACAAATCCAGCCGCGTATCCCTCCCATTCTGTTCCTGTAGACTCTCTTCCACCCAGCCAGCAGCGTTTACAGAAGAATCTTCCGCATGCTAGGGAGTCCAAATTCAATTCTGACCCCTGGTGTATGTTCAGGGTCAACTTTGATCCCCTGGGCATGTTCATTCAACTATTATTTATATACTGTGTGTCTACCACTGTTCTGGACTCTGAGGCAACATCGGTGAAAAGGACACACACAGTCCCTGCTGTTGTGGATGTCACAGTGTGGTAGGAGGGGAACAGTTAACCCTTACAGCGAACAAATAATGCCAGGCAGTAGTGAGTGGCTCATGCCTGTGATCCCAGGACTTGGGAGGTTCAGGTAAGAGGAGTAAGGTAAGGACAGACAGCCTGGGCTACAGAGACCCTACCTAAAAACTCAAAACAGGGCTGGAGAGATGGCTCAGCGGTTAAGAGCACTGGCTGTTCTTCCAGAGGTCCTGAGTTCAATTCCCAGCAACCACATGGTGGCTCACAACCATCTGTAATGAGATCTGGTGCCCTCTTCTGGTCTGCAGACATATGTGCAGGCAGAACACTGTGTACATAATAAATAAATCTTAAAAAAAAAAAAAAAAAAAACTCAAAACAAAAGATAGGTTGGCAGCTCAATCTGTGATCCCAGTACTTGGGGGTGGGTGGGAACAGAAGGAAAAAGGACTTCAAGGGTCATCCTTAGCTATATAGATCGAAGGCTAACCTGGATTATCTGAGACCCTATCTCAAAAATCAAACAAGGGGGCTGGAGAGATGACTTGGAAGTTAAGAGTATTTGCTGTTCTTCCAGAGGATTGGAATTAATTTAACACCCACATGATGGCTCACAACTGTCTGTAACTCCAGTTCCAAAGGATCCAACACCCTCTTCTGGCCTCTTTGGGCACTGCACACACTTGGTGCACAGACACGTGCAGGCAAAACACCCACATACAAAAAAAAAAAAAAAAAATCAGGCCCAGTGTGCTGTGCTCGCCTTTAACCCCAACACTTGGGAGGCAGAGGCAAGAGAATCTCTGTGAGTTCAAGGACAGCCTGGGCTGCATAGTAAGTTCCAAGCTAGCCTGGGCTTCATAGTGAGACCCTGTCTCAAACAAAACAAAAACTAATAAAATAGCTCTCTAGAAAGCATCATTTGAATAGTAGCTATAAAGGGAGTAAAGGCCAAGACAGAGTAGGGGAGGAAGAAAGGGCATTGTGGGGTGCATCATCAGGTGGTCAGGAAAGGCCTCTGGGGTAATGTCACTGGAATAATGAGAAGTCGCCCAGTGGAGGCCTCAGGTGTGAGCCATCGGGGAGTTGATTGAAGAGTCTGTGTACATGTGGGCATCCATCAAGGAGGGCTGTTTTCTGGGTGGTAACTTCCTGACTTTATGTGCTCAGAATGTCTCAGGGGCTAGTTTTTCTCCTCTGCCTCCACCCTGTCCTCTCCAGGACACTATGCCCCTAACCTTTCTTCTCCAGCCTGCCCTAGATTCCGGGATTCCTGATTGCCGTCCAAAGCTGTCTACACTCTTTCATTAAGACTGACTTTGCTTTGACACAGACTTTGCCAAGCCCCCACCAAGGGCATCTACTCTGCCTGCTTACCTTCCCTTGCCTTCTCCAACACCCACCCCACTCAAAAAAAAGAAAAAAAGAAACTTTCCAGATTTGGCAGCACATCCTGAAGCCTCAAGGCCTGGCCTACTCCACTCACCACCCTGTCCACTGCCTCTCTTTCCCTCCCTCCCTCCCTCCCTCCCTCCCTCCCTCCCCCCTTGCCTGCCCCTGTCCTCTCTCTCTCTTTCTTCCAACTAACATTTACTGGCTGCTGACAGGATGCCAAGCCCTGT